TGTTATAATCCCTTCCTGCTTTCCTGACTGGTCCTGGGGCAGAAATAGACTCTACTTCCAGTTTCTAAGTTCTCTGGATCCTAAAAACTCATTTTATCTTCGCTAATAAATACGGAAAACTTACAGCCTGGTGTTGAGCTATTTATCAGAGTAAATTGCATTTTGCTGCCCCCACATTCCAAGAAAATCTGAGTTCTGAGTCTTGACAGGCCTGAGGAACTTCCTTCCGACCTGATTTCAGCATGTAGAACAGCGCTGTCCAAAACACCTTTCTGTAAGGGTGGAGAGGTTCTGTATTTGTGCTGTCAAAATAGGAGTCACTGGCCTCACGTGACAATCAAGCACTTGGCTGAAGAGAGTGCAAGTGAGGAACTGAAATTATAATTTCATTTGAAATGAAATAGCCATGTGTGGCTAGAAGCCACACACTGGACCGTACATGAATTCCAAGGAGGTCCATCCAAGACTTGTTTTGAAAGGGCCCATGAATCATCTGATGCATTTGGTGCATCAAATATTGTATACCCATGCAAATGCATTTTTCTGAGTGTCCAGAGCTTTCATCAGAATCCCAAAGTGGTCTGGCCCACCACAAATGTAAAAGTTCTGTGACTGGGGACCATGCTAGGGGTGCCAGCATTTCTCAGTTCTAATAAGATCACTTGATCTAAAGTAGATGTAATTTTCCAGAAACCTGGTACAGGAACAAGCTAGGCCCTCTATCAAAACACTTTTGCATGCCAACCCTGGATTTGGTCTTCATCCTTATGGAATCTGACATGGAATCAATTTTTGCCACAGGGGGTTCAGGCACGAATATCCATTAGCCATACTTAGTACGTTACCTCATCCATTCACTTACTCACGTATTCATTCGTCAGATATTTGAGCGTCTACAACGTACAGAGGAGAAGGAACGCAGGAAGTCAGCCAATGCAGGCCCCTGGAACCAAGATAGAGCACAGCGGAGGAAAGGGATGGGCGGGCTGAGCTGAGAAAAGATTGGCTGAAAGTCTACAAAGCAGTTAGATCTCCACATCCCCCACTGTTTCTGCACAGCCAGGTGACATCTCCACCCAGGCAGATGGCTGCAGGTTTACCCTGGAGAAAAGATGAATCAGAACTTAGCGTGGACAACTCTCTCAGAGTGAGAATAGGGAAACGACAAACAGGGCACCAAACAGGGTTATGTGAAAGTCCACTCACTAGAAGTAAAAGGCCTACACCCTTCCACCATCACTCCCAGCCACAAACTGGAGCTGAGTTAAGGCACTACTAGTCACAGGTAAAGAGGGCGAGAAGATGGTCCCTGCAAGCCTGGCCTGGTCAGGGACGTGTCCTGCAATGCACTGTGCTGTGTTCCGACCTTCAAGGATGCCTGAAACGTAAAGCAAGCAGAGAAAAGGAAACCAGCACAGGACCGTGTGCCAAGGCCTGTCTCACCGCAGCCATGAAGCTGAGAGAAAGTCACACATTGCCACTGGACAATTCCCAAGTGTACGCATTTCTCAGGGGGAAAAGGAAAGATCATACCCTTCCTTGAATTGTCACTGTGTCTTGTGTTTAAATGCCTACTCTGAAATTCTACAAGAGGGACAGACGTACAGAGTCCACACATGGCTCATGATGGCTGGCTGTCACCTGCGGAAACCAGGGGCCACATATGTACCAGACCCTGTGTGTTCTGTGCTTGTCAATACGGAATGGGAAGTTCACAGGCAAAGGATGCAATCCCTGGACTCTCAAAAGCTACTGTCCAAAGCTATACCCAGCACAGATCCACAGACTGAAATTTATGCAGTATGTTCTACACAATGGAACTGGGGAACACCGGGTAACAAACCCTCTGAGGTCGTCCTTCTCTCCCCACATTCCAAGGGCAAAGTCTGTTTTCATTCACAAGCGCTCCCAATTTCCAAACCAGGTTTCAGTGCTCACATTCTAAAGATCGCTACAAAAGTTCCTGCAGTGGCACTGACTAAGAGAGCTAAATGGCTTAGCAGAAACGAAGCCTGCTAGTCACCGTAACTTTTACAACAGGAAAGGAATTTCTGCCTCAGCTAAAAGGCTAAAAAAAAATTCATATTCAGGAATATGGAGCATATCCCATCTCTTCTGTACGGGCAAAATAATATTAATAGTAATGGGCACCAAGAGAAACCAAGGAAGGCAATGAAAAGATGCAGATGTGCTATGAGGGTGAATTGAACACCCATCCCCTTTTTGTCCCATAAAAAAACGATCTGAAATAAACGGGAGGTTGACTCGCATTGTGAGGATGCAGACAGATGTACCAGCGTGTATGGGTGCAAAGCAAGAGGTATTAAAAGGGAAGGCAATATATATTCAATGATAATGGTCATAACTGTAGCTACGATTAGCTAAGCGGAATGTTTCCATATGAGAAAGCTCTATTAACGTCCTTTCCAAAACACAAAGCCCCATCATCGCTCACTATCAGCGGCTGGTGAGAGCTTGACATGCTTTCCAAATAGGCACCTAAAATAATATTACACTAATCTCATATATTTTATTCATTGCTCCCCCTTCAACATCAGCTCCTTTATGGACATTTAAAGGACTATCTGGCTTCCAGAAAAGTTAAATATTAAATAAAAACGATCATTTTAATGACTATAAGTGGTCAATTAGCCATGTGTTGAAAATAATTCAAATCAATTTGGTGCACAAAAATAACTAATAAATTGTTATGAAGTCCTTCATAAATTTGAAGTGTCAGATAAATGGTCTATAATCAGAATCACCATCATCATAAAAACACTTTAACAGCCACAAAGTGACCAAGTGGATCTGTAACATTTTGTCCTCAGGACAGAAGAAAGAAAATTCTATACACACAAAACTATAATGTTTTATAATTATAACAGCATTACAAAATTATAATGTTGTGAAATAATGAGACGTAAGCGCCAGTAAGCTTGCTGTCCCCTCAAAATATATATGTTCAGTAAAGGCCAAAACCAAAACAAAATCCAAGCCAAGTTCAAAGAAACTGAATGGAATTTTACTCTATTTGATGAGACAAATACATGATTTTAACCAATAATTCCAGGTGGATAATATTCAACAGATTGTTGAAATTTTTTTCTATAAATACCTACAGTCTGGAAAAATGAACAATTTACTTTCATATCTGCTTCCTGGTGCTAATTTTCATTACTACAAGATGACAGCACTCTGGAGAATAAAAAAAAGAGCTGCCATGAACTGACTTACATTTCTTTGCTATAGAAACCAGAAATTCATATCCAAAGAAAAACAGTAACAAGGAGACAAGACTGTCAAAAATGTCAAATATACACTAAATGTTGCTCATCGTTCTTTTTAAGAATTGGGAAGCTGTGGGGTCTGCTGAATTAAGTGGCAAAGAAGATGTCAAGAGCAATGAAATTGAACCCCAGGCATATCTTAATGGCTTTGTTCATTTTCCCATCTGTAAAACTTGGGACACCCTTCCTGCTGCCTGTGTTAGGTAATTAAGAGCTGTGAAGCACTCTGGAAGTACAAACTGCTAAATAAATTAGGACTGCTGAAGAATTTTTACCATAATGTGCTAAATAATCATGATGAAACATGGGCTTTGCACTTCACCATTCTTGTTTTCAAATCAATAAATGGAAATGAGACTCCGATCTCGTAGTATACGGCTTGACATACTATTAGGTAGCAACTCCAAGTGAGGGATCCGAAATCACAGAAGGGATCCTGTTTTCCCAAGAGCAGTTGACCCACCTTTACATGTCATAATGCAAACAAGGTCACGTTCTATTCCTGTAGTCACCGAAATGTCACCATTACGCCTGTGTCTTTCTGCACTTTAGCTAATTCCAATTGGAGTCCATTCTCCTTAAAAGTCCACTAAGCAATCAACTTTTTGAGAACTTCCTCTTATTTCAAATGGAAATTCCTAAACCATAGTAATGTTTTAAGCTACTGTCTGGGAATTCACGACAGCTATGACATTCAGCTAAAGTCACTGCCCCCTCCCCTTCCCACTTTCTTAGACCATAATATTGATGAGATGGTAGGTTTGTCGAAAAACTTTGAATGCTTTTTAGATTTGCTTACTGAGAAAGTAAGGATGAAGATATTAGCAGCAATGCTATGACCTTCCAAACTTCTATTCCAATGATGGTTTGAGCATGTTATAAGATTTGAAATACGGACCAGGAAAGCTGACATTATTTTATTATTCATATACAGGTCTCACTGTTTTTCCATCTACATTTTAAAAATAACTACTGAAAAGCAAACAAAAAAACAAAAATCTAAGGAATTTTAAATCACAGAAAGATGGGAAACCTTTAGAGCTCAAATCCATTTTAATTCTCTCTCACTGAAAATATATCATCTAGAAAATATAGTCTTCTATCTAAATCCAAAATCTGATCAAGGTTTTGCTTACAAAGGACATTGCTCTGTGAATTCTCTCTACAACTGTAAATAAAATGTAGTTATAACAAACAGTTCAAACACCATCAAACAAACAAGCCTATATATATATATATCCTGGTGTATATATATGTATGTATATATGTTTGGGGAGAAAGTCCTCTCCAGTTACTATTTTAAGGAAAAATTAAACATAGACAGAAGAAACCAAAGTAAAGGGTATTATTCACATTAAAATGCAAATATATAATTCTATCCTCATAATAACCAAGACCTCAAATACCAGTTTTAATGACTCATATTAATTTAATTGTGACATTAGCACTCATAATCATCGGTGTCAAAAGACCGCTGTGTTCCAAACATAATTATCACACCAGCATCTCATTTCATGAAATTATTAGTTAAGGGAAAAGCCTCTGAAGGAATTCGTATTTGATTAGTTTCACTTATTTAAGAACACTCAATAATTTAAGATGTTTAAATAAAAAGGACACAAAAGGGGCACATCTGAGAAGTGTCGGGGTCTTCTGCACCATGCGCTTTCCGGAAGGGAATTCTCCGGAATGATTACTAACTGTGCGTACCTTCCAGGTGAAGCCACATCAGCCTCCCCTTCACACTGACGACAGAGGCCACGCAGAGTTCTCCTGGGTTCCTGGGGTTCACAGCTTCAAGTTTCATGTTCTTTGTGAAACCCCGACTGAAGGATGTCTGAAAGAGAGAACTGACACTGAGCCAGTAGATACCACAGCAAGCTAGCATGTGGCAACACAGCCGGCCAGCTGGTGAAGCAGAAATGCACACACACAGACCTCATTTAGAACATGCTTGTTCATGTGTCTGTCTTTCCTGCCACCCATGAGGAAAACAGCCACGCCTTCTTCACTTGTGTCCCAGAAATTAGAACTCGCTTGGCACACAGCAGGTGGCTAATCATACATGTTGCGTGAGTGACAGAATGAATACATCGTCTTTTCCTTACTCCTACAGAATCACCGAGGCACAAATCATTTCTTCTACTTCCCTATCTTCCTCACTAACGTCAGACCTGGGCATCTCTCAGGAGTCTTCACCTGGCATCGCCTTCCTGCAGCCTGAAGAAGTCCCTTCACCATTTCTTTCAGTGCAGGTGTGCTGGGGATGAATTCCCAGAGTTTTCTTTGATCTGAGATTGCCCTTTTTTGCCTTTGTGCTTTTGCTTCTTTATTTTTATTTTCTAAATTCACCTTTTATAAATGTACATGAGGACAATTCACTCTGTTTGGAGCACTCTTTTACGAGGGTAGAGCTGTTAAATGAATGCATACAGCTGTATGGCCACAACTACAATCAAGACACAGAACAGTTCCTTCACCTCCAACACACCCTTGCATCGTCTATTCAGGTATCACTTCCTTCCAAAACACTGACCTATTTTCTGTTCCTCTAACGCTGCCTTTACCATAAAGTCACAGAAACGGATTCATACACTCTGTAGCCTTCTGAGTCTGGTTTCCTTCACTAAGCAAAACGGATCTGGGAATCCTCTGTGCTATTGCATGAATCAGTAGTTCGTCCTAGTTGACTGTTGAGTCATCTGTGTAGATGTACCAGTTGATCCATCCACTTACCAGCTGACGCACATCTGACTTGTTTTCAATTTGGGGAGATTGTGCATAAAGCTGCCATAGACAATCAAGCACAGGTTTATGTGTGAACATAAGCGTATTAGTCAGCTCTGGCTACCATAACAAAATACCACAGACCAGATGGCTTCAACAACAGAATTTCATCGTCTCACTGTTCTAGAGGCTGGAAGTCTGAGATCATGGTGTCAGCAGGGTCGGTTCTTCTGAGGCCACTCTCCTTGGCTGCAAGCTTGCAGATGGCTGTCTTCCCCTTGTGTCACTGCATGTTTGTTCCTCCATGCACATGGTCTATGTTTTAATCTCCTCTTCGTAAGAGGACACCAGTTATACTGGATTAAGTCTCACTCATATGACCTCGTGTTACCTTATTCACCTCTTTAAAGACTCTAACTCCAAATACAGTCACATTCTGAGGTCCTGGGGGTTAGGACTTTAACATATGGATTTTGGAAGTACATAATTCTAGAACATTGTTTTCATTTCTTTAGAAATAGGATTGCTGGGCCATATGGTAAATGTGTTTCTTAAAAATAACAAAAACAAGGGCCGGCCGAGTGGCTCAGTTGGCTAAGAGCTCGCTCAAGAGTTTGAGTTCTGAGCAACAGCGGTTCGAGTCCAGCCCGAGCTGAGCAGCCGCTGAGCTGCCAACAGGTAGCAGGATGGCTCAGCTAAAAAAAAAAATACAAAAAAAACAAGAAAAATAAACCTGCCAAATTATTTTCCAGTATACCACTTTGCATCCCCAATAGCAGTGTGTGGAGTTACAGCTGCTAAACATACTCACCCACACTTGATATTCCCAGTTTTTTTATTTTTAACTACCGTATTTGCCGGCGTATAAGACGACTCGGCGTATAAGACGACCCCCTAACATTTCCACTCAAAATACAGAGTTTGTTATATGGTCGGCTGTGTGCGATTTTGCGAGTGTGGTAAAATCGCATAACAGCAAAATCGCATAACAGCCGAGCATACACCCAGCAGCGCTGCTGATGCCTGAACGGTATGTGGAATGAAGTGGGCGGGCATCGGGAGGCCACTATGGCACGGGGCAAGCACTATGGGCAGTCTATCTGAAGTGTACCTGGCGTATAAGACGACCCCCCACTTGGAGGCATATTTTTCAGGGCCAAAAAATCGTCTTATACGCCGGCAAATACGGTATTCTATCAGGTAGGTTTAATGGTATCTCATTGTGTTTTTAACTTGCATTTTCCCTATGACTAATGTTGTTGAGCATTTTCTCACGTTGCTTTGCCATTAATATATTGGGTTGTCGGAAAAGTCATGACGTATTTTTTCTGTTTTTCATTGCAAAACTGTGTCAGGACTTTTCCGACAACCCAATATTTCTTTGGTGAAGTGTCTGTTTTTAGTCTTCATTCTTGAAGTATATTTTTATAGGATATAGAATTATAATGTTTTATCTTTCGGCACTCTAAAGATATTGGTTCACTGTCTTTTGGCCTTCGTTCTTTCTGATGAAAAGTTTGCCATTAATCGAATTGTTGTTCCTCTATTTGAAATGCATCGTTTTTCTCTGGATGCTTTCAGGATTTTTCTCTTTATATTTGATTATCAACAATTTGACTATGGTGGGTTTCTTTGTATTTATACTCCTTGGGGTTCACTGAGATTCCTGAATCTGTAAATTTAGATCTTTCAGCTACTTTGGTAAATTTGGGGCCATTATTATTTTTTTTTCTTCCACAGTCTCTGTGGCCATTTCTTCTGGGTTTTTAATTACACATGATATTGTCCCTCAGATTCCTGACATTCTCTTCGTCTTCTCCCCAAACTGCTATCAAACTTCTTTTCCTCTCTGTTCTTCAGACAGGATCATTTCTATCTTCAAGGTCATACACTGTTTCCTCTGTCATCTCTATTCTGCTAGTAATCCTTTCCAATGAGTTTTCTTTTTTCAGATATTGTACAGTTCAGTTTTAGAATTTCTCTTTTTTTATACTTCCTACTTCTGTTTTGGCACTTCCTATCTTTTCATTTATTCCAAGAACATTTTCCTTTACATCAATGCTTTTTTAGGATATACCAGAATTACCTAGAGAGCCTTTTGAAAACACAGACTGCTGGGCTTCACCTGATTTGAGGTGAGGCCAGAGAATCTGTATTTCCGACAAGGTCCCTGGTGATGCTAAAGCTGCTGGCCTAAGAGACACACTTGGGAACCAGTGCTTTTCACCACGGAGCTTAGTTATAACAGCAGTTTTAAAATACTAGCCTGCTAATACCAATATCTGGGTCACGTTGGGTTTGGTCTCTGCTAATTATCTTTTCCACAGAGAATGAGTCCGATTTTCCTATTTCTTCATGTGTTGAGCAACTCTGGATTGAAATCCGGATGTTTTAAATGGTTTGTCATAGAAACCCTGGATTGTGTTATATTCCTTGCCTGTTTTAGCAAGCAATGACGTTGGCTGGACTCTGTCTCTTGAGAAGAAGCTCAAATCTCAGTTCAGTTCTTTCATCCTTAGAAGTTAGGCTGCTTGGGGTTTGCCTGGCAAATACATGGTTCAGGGACTGGCCAAAGATTCAGGCAGAGTTTATACCCAGAATTTGTGGTTCCTCCTCCGGTTCTCCCCTGTTTGTGACTCCCCTCACTTTCCCATAGCTGTGGTTGCGCAAATTCTGTCACCAGGTTCATCAGGCCAGAAAGATTATAAGTTTTATATCACTGTTTTAGTTATCCCCTCTATTGCCAACTGTGGCTGACCTCAGGCCGCAAGTCTGAAAATATTGGGATGACCACTCCGTGCTCTTCCTTTCTACTAAACACTTGTTTCCCTCCAGAATCTGCCTACTTTTGTTCATTCTGCACATCCCTCAGGTAGCTGTTTTTCATTCTGTCCAGAGTTTATAGTTGCTATCTGTGGGAGGATCAGTGAGCTTAGCCAATATGGGAAGCAAAACTTCTTTCTAAATAAATATAAATAATATAAATTTTTCCAAAATCAGCCACTACTATAAATTTTAACCAGACATTTCAATACTGTATAAATATATCTATTTTGAAATATATAAACTGAAATAAACTAGTTCCTATAAGAGATTATATCTCTATGTGACCCATGGAAGGAAACCAAGGTAATTCACATTTACCTGTCTTTCTACATACATTAAGTTGAAATGAAAGTCTATCTTTATGTAAACAGAATGAAATTACCCAATGTATGTTAAGTAACCAATTTGCTCCATTCCTTTATGTTCTTTTGAAAATAGAAATCAAAGTTATTCTAGATGGGTCTTTTCCTGTAAGTCTTTCTAATTTATCCATGCACATTATGTATTGAGCTTCTCTCTGATAATACAACTCGATAGGCTGCCTGAAAAGCCTCTAAGTAAGTTAAAATGCATTTTATCCTACTTGATAAGGGAAAGCTACAACTGCATAACCTATTTTAGTTTCAATTCACTGCTTGAGGGTAATTTATAAAGGATCAATGGCAAAACGGTTACCTGTGGGTTTCTTTTACTAAGCATTTGGCTGTGTCAATCCATTTCAGAACTGCCTCTAATTGTTAAACATCCGCAGGGAAATGTCTTCCATGCATCCACTTCCACACTACCTCTCCTCCGGTACACACGAGATGTGTGATTAAAGAAATGCATTCATCATAAGCATTCCATTCAAGAGCATATGTAACAAGCTACCAAAACTCAGTGAGGTACCAGGAGTGCAATGCATCCGCCAACAGGCAGATAACAACCCTGTGCATTAAATAAAAGGAGAGGCAGAAAGAAGGGGGCATGTTTGTTACACGTGCATTCCTAATGAGTATGCCAGCACGTTTATTAAAACAGATTAAACATGGGGAGCAAAATCCTGAAAGCTCAGAGGCCATCTGGGGATGTGGCTACTTGCTCCACTATTAAAATCCATTTGGACAACAGCTGGCTGCATGGGAGCAGAGGACAGATAAAAAGGAGCCTTGGTGGAAATACGTTGTCACATAAGAGACAACTCCTTAAATACAGAACTGGGAGGACTTTCTTCCCAGAGCTAAAGAATCAGGGGAGGATTTTTTTTCTCTCTTGTCAGGTAGAAAGCACAAAGTCAAAGGGGTTTGGTGATGTGCTCAGGTGTCTTCATGATCCTAAACGGAAGGCAATAAGCCTCACAGGTTCTGTCACCAGTGACATCAACATGATAAAACGTGTAATAAGATCGCACAGGACTTTGTAAGCCTCGAGTGCTAACTGGCAGCTAGCCTCACGGTGGCATGGTTACACCGCTGTCCCTTTGTGCCACCTAAACATGCAGCATACAGTTCTTTGAAAGCAACAGGAGAACAGCCTTTGTGCAAGGCAATGTCACCCAAGTACAAAATTCATTTAATCATTTACGGAGCCCTGATTTCCAACTCTGCCACTGATATGGTGACCCAGTAATCAACCTACTTAATTCTCCAAAATCCGTTTCTGACTTATGCTCAGTGTTGAGCTTCTCTCTATTAGGCCAACCCTTTCCGCCTCCCAGTTCTCATATCCTGTGACCCCACAGCGCAGATGATGGGTGAATGGCAGCGAGTCAGCAGCAGTGGGAAACCATGTCTGGAAAACAAGTCTTGGATTTGGGAGCACGTTGCACCATTGCATGTGCAGTCCCCAGTAGATGGACAGCATCTTTTTTCCTACCATAAGGAATTAACGCTCATCACTAAATACTCATACATGTTCAACACACTGGGCTCTACATTATGCCTCACTCTTTAAACGGAGACAATAATCTATGTCCCTTTTCATAGCTGGGGTTGATGAAGTTTAAGTGAATAATTCATAAACTAGTTGATATAACCAACTCCTATTAACTAAGCAAGGGCACACCCATATGCCCATGCACACACACAGACACAGACACACACACACACACACACACAGTTTTCTGTATCACAAAAATCCTATTACTATGCCAATAAGCCCTATTTGGACAAGGTAGGGGCTTAGAGGAAGCAAAGGACAAAATTGTTGGACTAGCCTCCTACTAAAGTAATCCATGGCAAAAAATTTGCAATCATATTTTAAGAATATTCCTCAGGAGCAGAGAATCTCCGATCAGTGGCCTATCAATATTACACTCCATAGCGAGTGCACAGCTAACGGTGGCACAGGTGACCAGCTGTTCATCAAAGTTTGTCCTCCTTCTTCTATGGTATGGAATCATGGCTGGGCACAGTAGCTCCGCCAGGGCATATCTTAAAGTCACTCACATCCTGGTGCAGCCAGGTCACTGGTTCTCCCAATGGAAAGTGAGTGGAATGTGCCAGTACTAGCTACAGTGCTTAGAACAAGGGCTGTCTTCTCCTGGGTCTCTTTCCTGTCTGCTCACCAGATTCAGATGATGAAACCAAAACAGATCTAGCCCAAGTCTCACCACAGTGAGAACCACCCGCTCACAGGGCACCGTGGACCCTTGCCGAAGTGACAGAGAAACTTATAAGATATTCGAGCCACTATACATTGAGTCGTCAATTTGTGACTACAGTCCAGCATCACCAGATATCCAGGCTGAAAGAAGGACTTCCCAAAAATGACAAACGTTTTAGGATCCCGTGGTACACGGCAGCACTCTACTCTTGCTCAATGAGCAGAAAGCAATCGATAAAACTTATGGTGAGCAACGTCTATGATACAAGAAGTAGCAAGAAACAAGCTTCTTACATTTTTGAAGCAGAAAGGGGGTGCTTCTTCTGTTCCGTGCTGCTTGTGATAATCTGCCCAGTCAAAGTCCTGGCCACAGAATCCTGTGCATGACAAGACACAACAAAACAGCATTAATCAAGCTAAGTCTCAGACGAAGGTGCAGTGTTATAGTGTGGCACTAATAAAAATAGTAAGGGGTGCAAACATAGGTCCCCAGAGGGTGAAGCCTTTTTTTAGGCCTGACAGCACATCAGAGTTTATTAGCGTCAAATGAAACATTTTGAAAAATGTCAAGAATTCCACACAAGTAAGCTGTACACCATCAATACTATAATGCGGTGTCTGAAAGCAGGTGCAGAAGATAGAAGGTACCCAAGTCAGAGCATGCTGGTGGGTTAGGTCTGCGTTGGGGGAGAATAGGTGAGATATTGAGGGAGGGGTCCAAGAAATACTTATTCATATGTACTAAATTTAATTAAATGCAGATCTTACCAAAATGTATTTTTTTCTTTCCTTATTCATTTTTTTTTGGGGGGGGGGTGCAATGAGACAATATATATTCACCATGACCACCATGATAAGACATAGGAGAAGGTGAGAGAAAACAGTTCTAAATCATAAAATAAGAAAAGGCATCAGGTGTATGGCTTAACCTAGATAGAAAAATACCTCTTAATGTGAGTATTTGCATTTCCTGTAAACAAAGGATAGCAATGGAAATAAAAACTACAGTACCAGTTAGGATTCATTGAAATTGTGCCCAATGTCACTATACCCTTCATTTAGGGTTCCCTCTTTATTGGTTTCAATGTATGTAAAATAAATCAATAAGGGGTTTCTTAAGTATATTTTTGACAACAGAAGGAATTGGGGGAATTTCTTTTCCCCATAATGTCATAAATTTATACCTGCAAATCACGTAGCATGGGGACTTTAGTTAGTAAGTCTCCCAGGTACAGAGCAACTATGGAAATGCTTTATGAAAAAAACTCAAGATACTGGTTGCTTCCTACCTTCATCTGCACTGGCAAGGACAAAATAGTATTCTCTTCATCAAGTAAGCTCAACGTACCCACTTTTTCTAAAGATGGCGGACGGGGGTTAACCAAGGTGGCAGCTGTCCTCCTCTAGCCCAGGGACTGACCTTTGACCCTCCCATACCCTGCTGACCATCAGCGCAGAGGTACCCACTTCCTCCTAAAACATCCCTTTCATTCTGTAAAGACCGACAATTCCTCGTTGCTTTCCAACAAAGAGATAAGAAGTCTCAGAGTTCTGAGACACTGTGTACTTGTTCTAGTTAGTTCTGAAGAGGCTCTGTACATGTCCACCCCCTCCACCCCCACTCTCTCCAGAGCTGTTTGTCCAGCCCGATGCTCTTGCATCAGAGGTTTCCAGAAGGGACCAACCCAACTTTCTTCTGAATAGTCATCAGCAAAACACAACGTGACTTAAACAAGGAAATGCAAGTTTCTGTACAATTACTATAATCCTCCACTTTAAGAGTAGTCTCTCTTGGAACTGTTTTGGATCAAATCCTTGCTTTACTGTATAAGAATAAAAGAACTCGCCAAAAGACACCTCAACCTGGTGAGAAGGTACCTAAAAGTACGAAAGGTAGTAAACCAGGAAGGAGCACTTGTTTTAGATCTAGCTCTACCAGGAACGGAGTGAACCAAGGTAAAAAAGTAAACTCAATCTTCAGTGCCTGACCTTATCTACTAATTCACAAAGTAAAGAGAAGATTTTTAAAGTCTCCTCTAGCTGTTGCATTCCAGGATTCAGAGCCACCATGACTAATATTTTACTGTTGGAACTTACGGCTTTTTCCTTCCTTCTGAGGTTAATGCTCTTCTCTTCTCCTAAGAGAAAAGCTCGGCAGGGTTGATGGAAGAGAGGCTATGGAACAGTCCCTAGAGGAGCTCCGAACACCTGAAGACAAGATGACTCCCAGCAACGGGAGGGCCCTATTTTTTTAGGGATGCTGCCAACTGACTCTTAAAGTCAAGATCTCCTTCGGTTCTGTGTCTCTTCCCCAGACCTCTCCTACTTTCTTAGTTAATTTTGTGAGTAAGGACATCTCATTGAGATCATGGCGGATGGGGGGGGGGTGAGGGGGAGATTGGGAAAAAAACCTATAGAAACTAATGGGAAGCTATGTTCTGATATAACATGAAATTTAGGTATTCTTTATGGTCAATACCTATTCAGATAAAACTTTCAACTCAGAAGTCACTTCTACTCCCCCTATAGACAGACATGTAGCTGGGTTTTCCATAATCACGTTCATAACTACCAAGCTCCAATGGGCTTTAACCCACTCCATAAAAATGTCAGGCTCCATGGTTTCCTGGACCAACATTCAGTTCTCTATATGCAGTTTTCAAGGCTCTCTATGGGGCGCCGTTTTTTTTTAATTAAAATGTATTGGGGTGACAATGATTAGCAAAGTTACATAGGTTTCAAGTGTACAATTCTGTAATACATCATCTATATACCACATTGTTTTCACCACCCAGAGTCAGTTCTCCTTCCATCACCATGGAGCCATTTTTAATCTAATAATTTCAAGAGATAACCAAGTCTTGTTGGGTATGTAAGCAACAATTAATTATTCTGAACTCTCTGATTATTCTAGAACTCTCTCCTTTCCCTGAACATGTGAATAGCCTAGACTTTTCCTCCTCTTTCCTCTCTTAGGGACCTTTATTCACTTCATCACTTAAAATTCTTTTCCTCCAGGCTGATAATGAGCTCTCTTTATAAGGGGGTTCTGTGACAGCTTAGAAAAAAAAATGCTACATAAAAACAAATTGCCATGGCTTGTATAATAGAGACAACAGGGGTCAATTATACTCATTAATCAACAAAGACAGAACAAGAAGTACTAAGGGCTTAACAGCAGCCAGGAAAACATGTTTTAAACCCAGGAGGGAGGAACATAGCAGAGGGGAAAATAAAATAAAAGGAAATCAAAGCCCCCTGGGCTATTAAAATTTGCAACAGGCTGCCATAGGACACTGTTGAACCATCACTAGAGTTACTTAAGCTTTTATTAGTGTTTATTCTGAATGAAGCTCCGACTTTTACGGGTCCAAAAGAGAACAGGTTGATGACCCATTTCCATAGGATACAAATTAATTGACATAAGACATCTATCTCCATTTGCAAACATTACAATTGGCAATGTAAGTAGACAATTCTTTCGAAAAAACATTTGGCAGTAAAAATGTTCATGAACTTTGAAACAATTTCATTTCTGGGAATTTATCCCATAAAAACAACCCTAAAAACTGAAAAAGTGTTACACATTAAGATAAAATGGCATTATTATTGACAATATTGGGGTGGGAAGAGACAACTTTACATCCAAATATAAGAAATGATATGAAACTTATCCAGTCTATGAAAAGTCATGCAGGCATGAAATTGCACATAGTTTGTTTTAAAAAAGACGCCATGAAAAATGACTGTCATAGCTTTAGATGAAATGATTTCTACAAGCATATACAAAATTATCACACTTATACTAAAAAATATGCAAAGAAAAAGACCAGAGGCAATGGAAGAAGAACTTATTAGTAAATACCAAAATAATTATCTGGGTGGTGGGACTCCTGGAAGCTTTGTTCTTCTCTTTGCATTTTCCAAATTTTCACTAATGATCACAAATTATTTCAATAATAAAACTTATTTGAAAGCATAGCATCCTTGCTCCATTTTAAAAGACAGTCAAGGTACCGGTCAATTAATCAAGTGTTAATTCAGCACATGGAATACACTATGACTGCCTCCCCAGAGTACATGCTAACAGAATCCCAGTTGTATCCAGTTCCTACAGGAAGTCAGCCCTCCTCAATGCCAGGAAGTGACTCACGACAACTCTGCGACAGTCATGGTTGTCTCAGGGCCCTTGCCTGGGACTTGGGATGGAGTGGGGGGAAGGATTAAAAAAAAGACTTCCCTCTCTAATAAAAGATACCACAGGAGTGAGAGCTGCTCTTCTATGATGGGTGGATATGAAAAAAAAACGTACAGTCTTACTAAAAAATAAAGACAGCAAAAGAATATTATGTTTGACATCTACCAGACTGGCAAGAGGAAAAACAATAGTATGAACCCACGATTATAAAGGCTGTTGGGAAACATACTTTTCTGCATTTCAGTTAGGTGTAGATCTTGAAAAACCGCTATGGATGCCAATTTGGCAACGTGTCAAAATCTTTAATAAGGTGTTTGCTCTCCAACCTAGCCATTTGTTCATTCACATATCCATTCGTTTAGAAATATTTAGTAAGTGCATACTACCTGCTAAGCAGAGTTCCAATACTAGAGATACAGAAGTGAACAAAACCAACCAAAATCCTTACCTTCACAGAGCTTACATTTCAGTGGAAGGAGACAGATCATACACAAATATAGGAAGTCAGATGATCACAAGCGCTACAGAGAGAAAGTGGAGAGGAGAGACAGGGAGAGCTGCACTGGGAAGGCCTTAACGAGAACGTGAAATGTAGGGGAGTTGAGGAAGTGAGCTGTGTGACTACCAGGGGGAAGGGTGTACCACGCAGAGGGATCAGCAACTGCAAAAGCAAAATTCTAGCAAGGCTGCAAGTTATAAAAAGATGATATAATACAATGTCAATTTTTCAAAATTAACCTATAAACCCAGTGCAATGCCAATTAATATCCAATGGGGTTCTCTTTCAGAGCTGGTACAAACTGATTTTAAAATTCATGCACAAAAATAACAAGACAATTCTGGAAAGAAAGAAAAAGTGGAGGGATTCACCTAGCAGACCTCAAGACTTATTACAAAGTAAAATCAATTGTTTTTAAAGTGGGATATTTGCTCAGGAATGGACAAACAGACCAACGAAACAGAATAAGAATAGGATATGGTTCAGACCCATAAAGGGACTTGGTATATGCCAGTGGTGGCATTACAAATCAGAAGGGACATAGCAGACTATTCAATTAATGATGCTGACAATTGGTGAATTTGAAAATCCAATTCAAGCAACAAAAAGAAAATTAATACTAAAATTGTTTTCTTTCCTCCTGACATGCAAAAATTAATTCCAAGTAGGTTAAATAGAAACAGATGA